CCTTACTACTAGGTTCAACAGCATGTGAGTTTGGGATCCATACCCTTCTCCCAATTGTGGTTCAGTCTGACCCTTCACTGTGGTGAAGAACACAGTGCAGCACGGCGAGCATGATGGAACGCGCGGTGGTATGTTTGTTTTCTGGTTGATTTTCAACATCCCGAGCCCGGTTAATCTAAAATCATCTAAAATCCAAAAATTGGTTCAGACGCATGACAGCAAAATCGGGATGCAACAGCTTAGGGGGAGGTGTGCCACCATTTTATAAGCCCTTGCGCCGAGAAAAGCCGTCGAAGTCCTGTGCCCCCTGAGGATCACTTCGCGAAGCCCATTCCCTCCTTCCCCCTTTGGGCCTTTCCCGCAGCTCGCCGGTTCTCGTGGAATCGCGGTAAGGGTGAGTGGTAATGGCGTGGGCCGGGAGGGTGAGGTTAGTGTGTGTGTTGTGTGTATGTGTGTTTGGGTGTTTGAATGCCAGCCGGAACTTAGTGCAAGGATCTAGAAGCCATAGAAGCTGTAGAATCAACTGCATGCTTGAGGGTTGACTTGGAGAAGAGAAATATAGCCCAAGGACCAAAACCATCCTGGCCATCAGGTGTCGAGGCTAGACTTCCATCGGCGGTTTCTGTTAGCTCGAATGGTTTATGAGGGACTCAGATGGTGAAACCGGACTGTGCAGGGTCCCAAGAGTCGGACGTTGCGGTCAAACCAGCCCGGGCTGTGCAGGTTTCTTTGAAGCGGCAACACGTAATTTCCGATGCTTAAATGATTGGCTTCATTGTGGCATATTGAGTATATTGGTATGATTTCAGACATACAATGTCAGAGTTGAAACTGCAAGCAAACACTCATCACAGATGCAGAGATCAGAGGAAGGACATGATGCAAGCCATTAAGAATTTTCGCCTTCGTTTTCACAGATCGAGTTCCAATCGAACGTGGTAGTGGTTTAGAAGAGTTTTGAAGGCGTGGTCCTGTTCTTGAACAGGGCCTGTTTTTTTTCCCATGTCTTGTGTTGTTTTCAGTTTAGCGGCGGCTATGCTCATATATGAATTACTTCACTTCTGTGCACCACGCAGTTCGTGGTCCGTGTGTTTTCTTTTTCACATGCTGTTCTTTGTGTCATCATGTGACACATGTGTCCCTTGATGGGGATTGAAGATGTTCCAATTTCCTCCATCTCCAAGGTTCAAATCTCACATCTCTGATTCAGCTGCTCACACCATCCGCCTCATTCCGCCTCGGGTTTTTTCCGCGCCTCCACCGCCTCCGCCGGTCGTCGCGGTGTCGACCTTTTGCCCGAGGAGATCTCGGTTTCGACCTTTGCTCGGAACAGTGCGCCCAGCTGCTATTTGGGCGATTGCGTGGGGGCTGGACAGGGCATCGCCCTCCCGTGACTTGGAAGAAGGCGGCCTTTGGGTCGCGGGTGCTTTGAAATGGGTAGCTCAAAGGTTGGAAGGGGCATTGGTGTCCGAATTCTTTCCAGATCGCTGAGCGTTTTTTGGGAGAGACTGTGTCATTGGGTTGTCCTTTTGGTGTTGAAGTTCGAATCCTGAAGTGACAATGACCCAATTCGCTTCTGTTGGCGGGACTTAACAAGGGCTCCCTGGGAAGGCTGCAAATGTTTGGACAGTTGATCGGTATCAAGAACTATATATAGGGTAGCAATTACTTCCCAGGGCTCAAGAGGTTTGAATGCCTAAGTTCGTCGGTATGGCAGGAGAGATACTTTTGGGAATTACCCCTTTGCGATTTCGATCATCGAACTGTATAGGGTCGGTAGTACAATTGAGGGGAACCAATTAACTGACTAAGTAGCTTCTTAAGAACAGAATGTTTAGCAACACCTAGCAATACCTTGCTTAACTACCTGCGTGTTCGGTGCTGCCTCAGGATTCAACTGCAGTTGCGCACCCAAAACACTGTGATGACCGGGGGACAGCTTGTGATCTTGGCGCCTTTGGAGTTCGGCTTCGATGATGTGCCTGGAGCACCCTTGATCGAAGGTGACAAGCAAGCGAGGTGTTTGATCAAGGAGTATGAGAGCCTTGGCAAGACAAATCAAATCTGTTCTCCTGCGGATCTCCTGTTTGGATCTGGATCCAGGGATGCCACTATAGTATTCTCCAGGCATGCCACTTGGTGTCCTGTTTCCCATTCACCACTTTGAGCGAGAAGCCTCCGAATTCCCACTCTTCTTTCTGCGATTCACTTGGGATCCACTTGTGTGAGATATGGGCCAATTTCGGACTAAGCTCTACCCACAGTAGGGCTCCATCAGAGTGTGGGTCAGCATCTAAGCACTTTGACATTCCAATCCACCAGCAGCTACGGCAGTACGTACATAATGTGACATTCTCTGGCGCATGTGGGGTCAGTTGCTTGAGCCTCCTCAAGAGTCTAGAATCCTTCCTTCATGTGCTCATTGAGTATCATCTCAGACTTTCCTGTCCAATGTCTTGGCAAATGAGTCAAGAGCATAGTACATACTAAGAAATAGAGATGGTCATTATGGGTGATGCCCTCCGCGGTATTGAGTATCATCTCTTGGCAAAAATGGTTTGGCGCATGCCTTGGTATCAATAACATGATCATTTGCCGAGGAATTTCAATCTCTCAGCTGTGCCGTACACGTGGCGAATGGCAGTGACTTGGAAGTTCGAGTACTGCTCGTGCGCCGGTAAGGGGGATAGATCCACCTGGAAAGCTTTGCTATCAGACATGGAACTGCCACTATTGGGAACATTTGTCTTACATATTACATCATATTATATGTAATATTCGTATATATTTCGATATATATATATATACATATTATTATATACTCGAAGGGATCCCAAACAGACCTCCGTCAAGTCTTTTACCTTGTGAATCTTGTCATTGGTCAGTGGACATTTCAACGCCGACATGAGCTGCTTGCAGTCTATAGGCCTTTGAAGGAGCCGGCACACCACATACGAGTTCCACATATGCGACCATCCAGTCACAGTGACTCACCAGTCTGCGTCTGTGATTCTGGATTCTGCTGGAGTTGGTGCCTTTGGTCATTTACGGTAATGCCACAACAATAGTTGCAATTATGCAAATGGAAGAGCCTGCGAACACACATTACTATTATTACACAACAGGGCCAGAAGGGCTCGTGGGAGTCCCATCTTCCGGCGCTTCACTGGTCCGGGACGAAATGTAAAGGAAGAAACCACTCAACGAGACATGATCTAGAGTCTAGTGGTTGCCAGCCAGCATTCCTGTTTTTTCACCAGTGATATTAGTCCTGTTGAGTTCTCTAGATCTAGGTGTGCTCAGCGGTTTCGCTGTGTTTCCGGACGGAGACGCTGTGCTCTGGAGCTCAGCCTGGATGCCGATCGCTCTCAGGAGCGCTACTGCCTCATCGTGGATCGTGGAAACCCCTTGGATGGGACAGGGACTGGAGACACTCGCACAGCCCGGGTCCCCACAGCTGCACAGGTGCACAGCAGCTGGAGAAGGTGAGATGGACATTGTTGAACATCAATGACTGTTCTCAATGGCTGGTAGTACTGGATCTCTGGCGGTGATTGATGTGGATCTTTGGCGGTATCCCCACGGGGCTGTTCCAGTCGCTGACAACTGGAAGATGACCCGTCCGTTACACAATGCATGGTGAATCAATGCTTTTCCAGGCCAACCCATTTGAGTCTTTGGAACCGATTTCTTACGAACTCGTGACATGTGATATACAACCAAAGAAGCACGAAACCACAAGATTCGGGAGCGGACTTGCGCATGGCATGGATTGCCATGCGGTATGGGGATCGCGAGCAGAATCCTTCCTACAGCTGTCAAAGAAAATCACACATCAAATGCGTATGACTCAAAAGATCTCAACATGGAACACGGGCAATCCAATTGTGGTGTTTAAATTTGTCTTTTGTACACCATGATGTTGGCTCGCGCTGCACTGCTTTGCGGTGATGCAAACGTACGCACATCTGTCAAACATCATTATGTATCTTGCTCGATACAGACCCTTTCTGGGATCTTCAAAGTGACGTCTTTAGGGTCTAAGTGACTGGCGATCTCAAGTTCAGTCACGTTGAAGGCTCCTGGTCCCTGGTTCTTACCATGTGCTTCTTGAATGTTTGGAATTGAATCCCCCGCCTCCCAGGTCGCCCTTTTCGGCCAGCTCGCCCAGGTCCGCGTCATCACACGTTACCAGGTCAACCCTTTTGATTTGCGACCGCCCAAGGCCGAAGCCGGGGGGTCGCTGAACAGCGACACGGGGCCGTGTGTTGATGGGCATTTGCACGAACTCGGTTCGATGGAAGATGAAAGAAGTCTTATAAAGCTTGTTCAAGCAACTTGTTTTTGCAACACCCTGACGGGAAAAGTACATATTCAACACCCGTCAGGGTGTTGCAAACAGTCTGTTTTTTTCACACTGGGGTAGTGGGCAGTGGGGTGGTCTGTCCGCTACATCTTAGTAATCGTCCGGGTTTGTGGCAAGGCTTTTGGCCCATAATCAGTTGCTTTATCTTTCTCAGAAGCGGGATATGTTGATATGTGCGTGGTACGGGGATGCACCACAGGTTGAGCAGTGCTTCGATTCTCCTTCGACTATGTTGTGATTTAAGCCGTGGGGTCCCGGGCAGTTCTATGGGTCGGAGATCTTCAGCCACTGCACAGCTGCGGGTGTTTCTTGGTGGTGCAGGAACTATCAGGAATCTACATGGTCGCATTTCTCTTTTTGCGCCATTGTGAAGGTGAGGATGTTCTTGCAGGCACCAAAAAACTGATCACAACAATGTAAGCCAAACGGGTAGACAGCCAAACGGGCCAAACGGGTAGATCAGTTCTAACTGGCTTAGATCATTGACTTGTTTCATTGTGCGATTCCGGTCCTTTTCAGCATCCGTGTTCACCACGGGAGCCGAACCGGTCGCCGCCGCATATCCGTGGCCAGACCTTTCATCCGAATGCCACCTTCATCCTGCATTTCTGGCGGCTCAGCGTTCGAGATGAGAGATGTGCGATAAGCTTTAGCCACAGGTACAAAATGTCTCGATAAGGCAGCTGCGGGGTTTCATGGCTGAACGGGATACTGTAATCGTTTCACATCCTGGACAGGCTTGAGAGGAGTTTAGGCAGTGCACATATGAAGTTTTTTTCAGCCTTTCTGGAGCTTTTTTTGGGATTCTGCACCATGACTTGGACTTGACTCGTTTTTGAATGTGTTTCATTCCTTCGCACCGTTGCACGGCCTTCGTGTTTGGGTCCGGTCTGGTTCTTCAGACATCCTTCTTGGTTTCATGGCAAATAAGTTGGAACACATGCCATGAAAGGAATGGGAAGATTCTGCTCAGGAAACAAGCGTGCTTGTAAAGCTAAAGTCATGATCGATAAGATTTGCAAAAGGTCATAACATACGTACTGCCAGTAATTACTAAAGGTAGACAGGACATGTGTAATATGTCAATCTTCGCAACCCAAGCTTCAAGCAATCCATGTATAGTACATTTGCATTTGGGTCCTTTCAGGGGTCCATGTCAAAGTATCCATATGAGACTCCATCAAGACTGGTCATCTCAGGCAGTGGATCAGGATGTTCAACTGATTGCCAGAGCTCGGGGGCAAATGTCTTCAACATTCCAACAGAATCACTACATCAATTCCCACTCAATCCACGGGACAGGCACTCCTTTTCCCTACATCTGATGACTTCGACCGTGGACTCCGAGCGTCACCACTCGTTGAGACAACATGCAGGGCGATGTGGACCCTCCGACCGTCGATCACTCTCAGGATCCATCCGCCCTTCACCTTTAGGCCTTCAGAGGCCGGGACTGTTTTTTATTGGCGCAACAGGAGGTGGGACAGTCGACGGTCGACGGGACGCTGGGCTGACGGCGACCACGGCACGGGTGGATTTGTTGAGTCAGACCGGTCCAATATTTAGGCTATGAAGAAATCGGACCCCAGAAACGAATGTTCCAACGGGAACTGAGTCAAGTTGCAGATGCGGCAACTTCAATGGCAACTGGAGAACAGAAACTACGGAAATCGATGACATTTTGAGGAGGATCTTTTACTGCAGGATTCTACTGAGCTGCGAGAAAGAGCACATACACACTGCAGAGACTCAATCGAAACACACTTCCATGTAGTTCAGAACGTGGGCAGCCAATGTGTTCTTGTTTGCTTTGGTTTATTTGAGGTCAGTTCGCGCTATCTACATCCACTGAGCACCTGTACGCCTCACCTGTCTTTTTGCAGACGAGCTAAGGCGTGGCACCTGGAAAGCTTCAGCCCCAATGGAGAGGAGTTGGATATTGGCACCACCATGGGATGGGAGGCTCGCTGAGAATCTCATGTGATTCTTTTGTGTGCCTCAGTTGTTTTTGGGGTTGGGATGGGTGTTGGGGGACCTTGACCTTTGAATGCACGAAAAAGAGATTGTTTTGGGTTTGGCATGGGTGAGTTCCGTTAGGTTGGGTGGGTTTGATCATTCCAAAAGAGAGCCTGCGCATTGCACATCGTTTTTGTTGCATTTCATGCTGCTGAGCGCGATTTTGGATATTCACCATTCTGTGGAATTCCAGGGCAAGCTGGTCCCCTTTCAAAGGTTAGGGAGGCTGAGCAGATTGCTTGGAGGTTTGATTGGTCGTTGGTGTTGGTCGCTTTGTTAAGTCCATCATTATAATCAACACCGGCGTCATTACCGCTGGTATTGATGCTTAATTATATAATCATATGGACAATTACATACATACAGTAACATACATACAGCATGTATATATATATAATATGTGTGTTACGTGTCTATTTATACACACACATACAGTATTTTATTTAGCGATTAAAACTTCCTATATCTTCGTATGTACATTATATATGTTTTTACATGAGACAGTGAGTATATTAGCAAGCTGTGCCCACTCCAAAAAGAACCATCCTTGTTTCAGCCTGCGCGTGGAATACCACACGTGTAGTTGTAACAATTTTGGATTATGCATGACTACCAGTGCATCTCCCGATCCACCAAAGCTGAGAGTCTGGATAACTATTTGATGACATTGGCACCGTCAGGGCCCAGCGATTTTTCGCTGCAGATTTCGGGGTGGAGGGGGTTGGGGGGGGCAATTTGCATCAATTTGCATGATATGTTGTGCGATGTTTATTTTTGGCTCCAGTGTCACGTCTTCATGGAGGCGCTCTTGCGTCGTCGGGACTCTGAAAGACTCTGAAAGTTCATACGGGAACGATTGATGGAGTTTGGTCTTTGTTGAAAAAGGATTTGCCGAAGCAGATCAGAACCACTGACGTCACCGATCAGACACAGATCAATCAGAAGATCTGGCGTCATGCAAGGGCGTGGCAGTGGCGATGGGAACATGCCAAGCACGATTCCCTAGCCGCACCGACTGCGAAAACGCTGTGAGCCATGTGAGAAACACACGCAGCTGTCCAGTGATGATGCAGTTTTTCTTGAAAATGGGATCTCAATTTTAGGCACGGGAAAGCATGTTTTGTGTGGCAAATACCACAACAATTACAAATCCCCATGGAAGTGCACGCATTTCTCTGTATTCAACTCTCAAGAATACTGCAAATAGAACATTGGAATGCTATACGCAAACACAAAAAACGCCAAAGCACACGTTCAGAAATCCACGCGTCGGGCAGTTTCACATGAAGCCGCCGTTTATCAAATGAACCACTCGCTTGGTTTGCCCGAACTCCGCGTGCCCGAGCCGGATCCCGGATCCGGTTCCGAACTCCGGGTGCGACATCCGGGTGCGACATCGCCAGGTGATCCGAGTGATGAACACCTTCGAGCACAGCAACACGGGTGGAATCAACAAATACACACAGACCATTTCACCGGCTGCGACTTGGATAGAATTTTTTTTGCTTGTCAAGCCACTTATAAGCCACTTTGTTTGTTGGGAGAAGGATTTGTTGGGCGAGTTGGGAACTTGGCCCCAAAAAGAGAGACCTCAGACGTTTGCTGAAAGCACTGCAGACTTGTATCATTGCTTGAGGATGCTTGAGGAATGTGTAGCATTCAGTTGATTTGAACGTTGCGAAACTTCTCTGTATATAGGCTGAATGTTCGACCACTTGCCATTTGTTGCGTTTGCACGTGGTCCATAATTTTTTGTTTGAACAAGGAGGACAGGAAGCAAAGCGCCCAAGACCGACGACTCACGACTGGTAGACATGAGACGAAGCACCTCCTTGAGATTCACACTCTTAAGACTCTTCAGCTCCTCTAGTCGTGAAAAAAACCTTTGGATCACTGATTGAGTTTGACTTTGACTTGTTTTGTTTACCTCTTTCATGATGGTTCATATTGTGTTCATACTATTTGTCTCGGCTAGATCTTGTACACAGCCTACTTCAGAGTAGTTAATTTGTTGAGTTCCATGGTTGTCTTGTGGTTAGATGCAGGAAGTAGGGAACCTTCACCTGATCCTCATCCCACTGGTTCCCTTGTGCGTTCGACTTGGATGGCCATCATTGCTGGCCGCTCGTCGCCTTGCAGATCCTTTTGTGGTGAACATGGTTTTTCGCAACTCTCGGATCCACAGACATCCCCAGAGGAAATGCATTAAGTTTCATCTCCTCAAACGCAAACAAATTCAGCGACCTGGTTTTCCCAAAAAGGATTCAGGGACCAGGTCGAACTGTTCCCAAACGACGCCAGGTTTTCACTCTGGGGACAGCTTGACGCTGAGCGGCGCCTTAGCGTTTCCATGCGTTTCCGACGGCTCAGGTGACGCAAGGACTGTCCTTGATCCCAAACTTCGTGCGGTTCTTAGAGGGGCTTCAGCGATAGTCAGGACCGGTGACTCAGCGATATCTCTTTGGGAAGGTCCTGGCCAGTGACCGTCTTGAGGCCTCAAGACATTGGGGCTACACCCTGGAAGAGACCCACATGGAACCTGAAAACCACTCGGGTTGTAGAGCAAAATAGTCTTCCAAAGGTCCATGTTACAGCTTCCAGATTCAATGTTAATCTTCCCGGGTGTAACCCGTGACCAAAGCACTGGCGGGATCACTTGACCAAAGAATGACTGACCCTTTGTTCACGGGGTTCCCCCCACTTGGTGAAACGAACGAACGAAAGGAAGTGGGAGTCGTTCGTGACCTTTGTTTCGTTCGGGACCGAGCGGAGGGATGCTGATCGCGGTTTTGGACCACTCTCAGGCTCAAGATCCTTTATATTCGTACGAGTGAGGGATGACGAGAAAAGATAGTAAAACCTCATGCAGAGATTTTCTGTAACTGTAAGTTAGTTCTTGCTTAATCGCTCGACAGATGCAGGGGTTTAGATGGGTTTAGAGACCTGTGGTGATCCAGGAGTTTTGTTACTTTTGAGCCATCTCTTTTTCTGCTCATTGATCGCGTTTTCTGCAGACACCAGGTTCCCGTATCCGATCACCGGTCAAGACACATGAGGATTTATATGGATGGTTCATGATGGTTCTATCAAAGACAACATGAGACATGAGTCAAGCTCAAGCATTTAGTTGCCACTTTACATTCCTCGAGGGAGCACCGCTGTCGCCTGATAAAATGGCTGGAGTTGGAAGCCAACATTGTTGAATCAGGTCATTGACTTTGTCCTGCCCGCTAATGCCTGGTTGGCAGACAAGTTGGTGCGAGAGCCCAAATTTGCAGAGTCTTCAGTCTTGATATATAAAGACCCGGTGGGTGATCCAGAAACTGCGCTGATATGCCTGGCTTCAATTCATATGTCAATAGATTACTTTCCTGTTCATGTGCTTTTCGATCTCCTTCCTTTCACAGTGAGGCTCATTGCAAGCCTTTGTTTGAGAAGATATCTTCCCGGTGGAAAATCCTCGAAGGTGCTCTCAATCTGTGGAAGAAGTCAACAGCAAGAGCCAACGACACTGTCTCTGCTTGCTAGCCCTTCAGGAATCGCATGTTGAATGCATGAACAACAACACGTGGCTTTTTGCTTCGCTTCATGCTTGATCATGAGTGATAGGTGCTTCTGAGTCATTTGATCCTAGTTGGTGGCATTCCTCTTCATGATCGCATGGGTGTTCACGTGTTTCACCATCCCACATCCGTCCAAAGAATGGATTCTTACGTGCCGCTGCCGGGGATGATGACGGAGAAAGGCTCGATTTCCGAACGAGGTCCTTACAGCGCCTAAGAACTTCCTGATGCAGCTGCCATACATGGATGGCAACGCGCCCGCGGGCCCAGATTGGACATCGAATTCATCATTGGAATGAATGTATTTGGAAGTTCTAGTCATCTAAGCGCCATTGGATAGTGAGAGCAAGCGCTTTCACACAAGCCTACTGGGATATCCTAGCGTCATTGAGCAAGCATGTTCTCCAAGTAATCATTGCAAGATCGTAGGGGTATGTAGTTCATTGTGTTCTATAAGTGTTTGAGTTTAGACACACTCTTTGCTAATATTAGTAGCTGGTACGAAGCAGAGGAGCCACTGTTCTGCCGGCAGTATGTGCAATCTCCTTTCCTGCTCACGGGCCGGGAGTATTCCTTTGTTGGTTTTTAAATGCCACTGGGACCACAACGGCATTTTCCAATTTTCCCACCTTGAACCATTTGCATACATTCCCAGTGAACGAATTTCCAGTAGAAATGAATCCTGCAAGCCAGATGAAAAAGGCACTGGATGAGGTTCCGAAACAACCTGCTATGTGGTCATGTGTGTGTGTGTGTCTAACAAGAGTCTAATACCTTCCCAACAGCAGTATTCTTCCAAAAGATGCAGTTTGTAAACATGCTTTCTAGATACACCAGTGACCAAATGTGAACGCAGCAAAGAGTCGTAATTGACTTCCGGACCATGCAGTCAATCTCACTAGCCCTACTTTGCATTTCAATTATATACCCTTGAAGAGACCCAGTCAGAGCCTGGCTTCAAGCCAAGGCTATTCTTGCATTTGCTGGCCCTGGCTCGAGATCTGGGTAGAAAATCGTACCCAGGAAGAAACAAACTGGCTTGCAGTAGAGTAATATGTGACGCTCCAGCCACAAGACTCAGATTAGCAAACTATAACACTTGATATGTAATCTACAATATTACCCATACGCTCCCTCAAATTATTGATCAAGTGAAGATTCTCAGTCCACCCCTGCCTGGACGGGGTAGAGATTGCTGAGAGCACGTGTTCATGTGGAGATACCAACATAATTTGACCACGACAGCTTTGGCGCATGCAGCATGCAAACCTGCCGAAACATTGACTCTCACCTCTAAACATCTAGAGGAGGTCAATTGAACTGACCCTCAAACACGTCAAGAGATGGGAAGCCCCACAACATTTGGGAACCTGTGACAGACACAAAACAAACTGCTGAGAACACGGCCTTCCTAGAAATCTTCAGTATGTTTTTTTTCTTCACTGGTCTTGGTAAAGGGTCTCGCCAGGATAGCTAGCCAGCATGATTTGCTGTAAATATGATAAACCGATAGACCCATTTATGTTCAAAGGTGTAGTTTGGCCCTGCATCTCAGTTCAAGCCGTTCTTGACCGTGGCCATTGTCCTCTCTTTCCCTTGACCAAGTCACAGTCCATGTAAGCTGCGCATCAGCTGCGCGTCATGGCCGAGAGCGCTGTGCGGAAAGATGACTTCTCTGGCGGGATGTTTTCTCAATGGAGTCTCATGTCCTTCTTTCCTTTCTGCTGCTCGGTTTACATGGTGAGTCAAAACGTGGAGCTTCTGCTACCCGGTAGGTTGACCTCCCAGGTAGGTCAAGCGGTCGGTCTCCTGGTCTTATGACCAACAGCTACACGTTTTCGCAAGACTTTCGGCTTAAACACGGAGCCGATCGGGCGTTTGTTTTTGTCGCCTCCGTGGCTTCTTTTCAGCCGGCGAGTGGTCGGTCGAGGTTGTTCCCATGCCTCGATGAGATTTGTACCATTTTGCCTCCGGCTGTACTGTAGAGGTCGGGGTAGCTGACGTTTATGTTTTTCCGATAGGATTCCAAGCGCAGCTTGAAGAACGCCTGATTGGAAGGGAAAAGAACATAGCACAGCAGCGTAAATGAATGGACCGCAGTCCTTTTTGTTTGGCACATGCAGCTAGTTGTTGTTCCCCGCCAACTGGGGTCCACAGGATTCCTCCTGTCTTACCCCTGTAGTAGAGGGGTAATTGTGCGTTTTGGGAAATTGCATGAACATGTCATGCCTGTGTGGCCATTCAAAGGCCAAGCTCAGTTCCATCAATTGCGGATGGACATTGGGAACATTGATCAACTTCAGCTACCCAGTTTCTCCGACCCAAATCCCAGGTCCTTTGTGGGTAACCACGAATGAACTCCCCAAAGGCTTTTTGTGTGCCGCACAAGACCCAGGCTATGCAGAGAACACGGCGTCAACAAGTAGTGAGACGAGCCATGGTATGCGGAGGTCCCAGTGGGGTGTCTATGACAACCAATGGGAGTGTGTGTTCCTTTCTGATAGCAGCTTTTGTGATTCTTTGTAACTTTGTACCTTGTTTTCTGACCACCACAGTATATAGAAGGAGAGATGACTGAACCAAACAAACTTGTTTTGTCTCCCCTTCAATTGTCCTGACTGTTTTACAACGGATGTTGCAACAAGTTGTGCTTGGGGCATGTGCATGTGCACTCATGTCGCGTCAAAGCCACCTGCTGTTCCTTGTTTGTTGTCCATCATTGCACCCCGGGCATGAAAATTCCAAAGCATACTGAAGTAAACCCAGACATTGAGGTCTTCAACTTTGTGCCAACACTTTCGCAATCTTGGAAACGCCAATGCGTGGAAACTCCATATCTTGGTTCCAACTGTCCAAGAAGGAACTTGTTTTTGACCTGTGATTTGGGTGGACCAGGGTCGACGACGGTTTTCAACACGAGAATGCTGGGGTTTTGAGATGATATCCAGGTCCATTGGGGCATTGCTAGGTAAGGATTGAAATAGGATTGGCCTGGTCTTCCCTTCCACCAGAGGCCACATATTTATTGTAATCATTGGACTGTTGAACAACCTATTGATACAGGATTAAGAATTGAAATTGCTGTTCCCCAGTATCATGCTTGGTGCTCCTCTCTTCTTCAGATCAAAAACTCCAACCTCATGACGCACCGAGGAAGGTGGTCTCCTTGCGCGCGGATCTCGAAGGCACCTCGCCGCCCTTCGCGCACGACTTGGCGGAGCATGACTGCATCGATACCACGGTCGGCCCCAATGGGCCGAATGGAACCGCCTTCCGCGACTGGGGCGCAATGGGGTCACCGGACAAGCACGAAGTGGACCTAGTAGCAAAGTGCATCGCTACGAACGGAGCGATCGGACGCTACGAATGGGGCTCCTGGCCGTACTACTAGGAACAAGAAGCTACTAGGGGCTCCTGGCATCGCTACTAGGAGCGATCGGACGCTACTAGGGGCTCTGCATGTAAATAAATAGACATCTACATTCCAGACGCTTCATGTGTGGCATATGCCTACAGTATCCCACATCGTGGGAGGTCTCAGGGGTCAATATGCAAATTTATAAATATATTTATATATCGACGTATATATTATATACAGTATTATATGTACACTATACATGGGAAGGTTTCAGGGGTATATATGTTATAGCATGAGTTCCTTCAGATGATCGGTGATGTCCCAGGCAACCGGAGACTGGTGCACATGGAGAATGTCATGACGCCACGGCAACATCACTTCAAAGAAGCAGTTCAGCTTCCAAAGCTTCTTCGATATCCATCATTGCCCAAGGACCTCTTGCTTTGGCTCTTGTGTTTTTTGCGAGAAGCGCGCCCAACGCTACCCCATCCATTCCGAGTCTCCTTGGATGCTGAAAATGCCGTTCGATGCCTATTCAGCAAAATTCCACATCATGCTGCACGTGCATCATATTGCAGCAGAACTTGGCCCTTCAATCCTGGGCTCCCATTAGAACATTAGAACATGCTTGCTACAGCATCGCACCTGACTCGTCTCGCCGAGAACTGCCACATCCACGCGTCACGCACGGAATTCTTGGAGCGTGTGCTCAAGTGTTGGACCTGGTGTTTTGTGTGTTATTTTCACCTGTGTTTTGCATATGTTTCTTTTTGCCGCTTTTGCTTTTCCTATGACAGCGAAAATGGCTGACGGGTAAAAGCCCTCATAAGTTCAGAAATGGTACACCAGGAAAAGAGCAAAAAACAATCAAATGCAATAGCAAAGTTAATTGCGTTGCTTTTGCATTTTCATTAGCTTTTGTGTGCTTTTGTTTTTTGTGTTTCACGAAACTGTTTTTGATGATTGGTCATGTATAGCTGCCATTGCCAAACCTATTATGCCCATGTTCAGCAATGTTCGTTCCAAGACCGCACAAAGACTGTTAATAAAAAGACACATATTAAACAATTTCTATGACTTGTCGCCTGACTGAACATACTGAAACTGATTGTGAAGCCATGTACCGAGCCACTGAGTGTTGGCAGGACTTCACATTAGAAGAGGGCAACGAGGAATATCAAGAGCGAGAGGTCTTGCTACAGCTCTTCAGGGAGTTCGCGCTGGATATGAATCGGGGCAGGTATTTGACGCTACACATGACTGTGAGGGGCAGGAATGGATTTGTTTGTGCACAACACGCTTTTTGCATTCTATATATGTAAAAGGAATTATATGTAATTGTATATTAGTAATTATACATATATATGTATTTGTATACTCTCAAAACGTGTAAGGAGAAAAGGAAGGGATATCCACGCGTTCTATCAGCTTTGAGGTCACCAACCTCAGTTCCACTCCACGATTGAATTTACTATTGGTCGATGTTGGTGTCGTCATGTTGTTTGTTCATGTTTGTTCAATATAGATCATTATTTGCCTTTAATATTGTGGCATGACTTGTCTTCTAAGGACACAGCTGGGATCGAATCAAGACTATTCGGTGATTCATTGCCAAGTGATGGATGACCTGCAAACCTTGAAGGTGGATCAAGGAAATGGTACCTCGCTTGCGGTTCATTAGCAGCCAAGTCGACCGCTGTTGCACAAACTCTTTTGAACCAGAGTCACAATTTGAAGACCTGGCTGTGGAGTACGGTTTGATTGCCAGCCGGCAGGTCAAGGTCAACCCCAGTTGTCCTCTCACCATGTCCCAGGCAAACATGTCCAACGGTTGGCACGTTTGGGTTCGAACGTCTCTCTGAGGTTTGTTCCGGACTCCCAGAGTCCGAATCCACAGCCAGGTTGTTCGAGGTCTCAACCGGATGGTTGGTTTCGGTTTGGCAGGAAAATCCGCAGGAAGAGCAAGTATCAGCATCCGTTCAGTAGGAATCCTGTGGTGTCTTTGGAGGTATCTTGGAGGTTAGTCAGGAGAGGATCAAGGGAGTTCAGAAACGGTTGGTGTACGAAAAGAGAACAGGGAGTCTAGCTGGAGGTTCAGCGAGAATCATCCAGCATACACAGAATAGATCACATAGTTTCGATTAGTTTAGTACATCTTCAGAAGATGCACCTACGTGAAGGTTGCCGTTCTTCCGAACCCTTTCTGCGTCCCATATGTCCCCTTTTCTTGGACCAAGCATCCGAGCCTTCAGAATCTACCCGCAGACTCAGGTTTCGCGTTTCCGCGTTTCTCTGTTTTTGTTCCCGCGTTTCCGCAACGCTGGGAAGGGTCATCCCACGCTACCCACGCCCCACGTGTTCCTTTCGCCAGGTTGTATCATCGAGTTCCCTCTCACCGGCGTCTCCAAAGTCTACCGCATCGTGAAGACCGATGAGCGCCTCACCTCGATGTCCAGCACACCCGCGCAGAACATCGATCCTTGGGCGGAGTCCGGGCGGCCAGGCGGAGTGAGTGAAGCAAGCGTTTCTTGGTGCAAGCTCCACACGAAGTGACTGCCAGATCATGTAACTAATGTAAGACTGCATGGACGGACAAATACGTGTAATATATGTTATATATACTATATCTATCTATGTATCTATCTATCTATCTATCTATCTATATATATATATTATATATATTATGTATTATATACCATATATACCATCACTGGCACCACCATCACCACCCAATGGGGAGCCGGAAATCGCTTCTTAGCCTTTGGGGTCTGAAGTACACGCCCTAAGAATCATAGAATTATGCATGCTGTTTTGGATATCCCTTGGCCAGTGAACCAGAGGGGTTGGATGGGAGAGATTGGCCTTTGTTGCCGTTCTGCCTGCCTGTGACCAATATTTGTATGTCCTTACTTTCGGGGTGTTGCTTGCCACGGTTACTTTTCCATTTGAACAATCTTAGATGGAAAACCTGGTACTGTAGTTATGGAGCTGGTTCGAACGTTTTATCCTATTTGCTACGTTGCGATGTGATCTTCAACTCGTGCAGCAACAGCCATGCTCCACAACTACGGCACCTTTCCAATGGTTTACTCATGACTCAAGCGTTGCAAATCTAGCACGTTTATTTTCCTTTGGTGTTATGTTCTGATAAGAAGCATTGACATGCATGGCGAAACAAGGATCACATACTACAGATGAGCACGTGTGCTGTTTGTTTGCACAATGTTGTTGGCTTGCCTTTCCTGCCATTCGTTGCTTTCACACTCCTCCATAGAATCGGCAAGCAACAAACCAATCAATTGTATAATGATACAACTAAGAGGGCCATTCAGGACTCAACACATTAGACACCAGGCCTGCAGGTATGCGCAGCTCAGTTTGTGGCATTGGTTTTCCCAGTAGTTCTGAAGTGTCTCTTTGCACTGGGAACCAACTAGTAGCAAGGTGCATCGCTACTAGGAGCAAGGACGCTACTAGTAGCTCCTGGCATTACTACTAGGAACGAGAAGCTACTAGTTTTGCAATGGCTTGCAGGTCGTGAACTGGGGTGCTTTCACGCATGGGTTCAGTCTGACTTGCTTCGGACGTCCGACTCGACAAGAGGATTTTACCCTGAAAGGATACTTTTTCAGTAAAAAGGGATGAAATATATGACACTTTTGAACCACCAAATCCAAGCAATTCTCAGTGGGTTCTGGCCTTGGGTCAACAGAACTGTCGAGTCTTTCTTGTTCATCCAGACCAATCTGCTGCCTCAGGAACATATTGTGGTGGTGGAGTTTATGCGACGAAAATTGGCCTTCGTGTCTAGATGGGAATCGTTGTGTGGCATCTGTCGCTTTTCCTTGAGAATCGAAGCCTTCAAATCCCAAAACTCCCAAGCAGCACACTTCAGAAGTATGGGATGCTTGGAAAAGCACACTTCAGAAATCTTCAGAAGATGGTTTCGGCATGATATGGGGTGACCCAACGAATGGGTTTGAGTCCTGGGTTTTCAGTCTAAAGCCCCTTGGTCCCCGTGTTCTAAGAAGGTTTGTGGGGGAAGTTTTGAATTGACACACCCCCACTTGAAGCAACTTGCAGAGTGGAGTCCGCATTTTCTTTATGCCCAACCCACTTGCGCCTACTTGTACGCTGAATTGCAAGTTCTCAGCACATGTTACGATTCTTTAACATACACTTTGATAGAGGCATCAATTCAAGAGGCTTTGGGCAGACACGAGCTCCCTGCCTTTTCTGGTCCCCAAAATGCTAATGAACAACTAGAGACCCTGAAATCACATCCCACACTTGGTTTTACACTCGCAATTAGTGTGTGTTTTCCACCTGCCAGGGTCTTGACATAGATTTGAACAAAGGACCACGGAGAGGGCAAGGTCAGTCTGGGCGCGCGCGGACCTGCACGCCATAGGGGGTGCCAGCGCATGCACCTGGACACCATAGACAGATCCAAATCAGTCTGAACATATAATGTCAGAAGATATGCCAAATAGAATGCCAGTAGGTAAGCCAGAAGATATGCCAGAAAGGATGTCAGAAGATATGCCCGTTTGAATGTCGGCCTTCCTGCTATTTAGAATGTCAAAACATAATAAATCACATGTCAGAAGCTGTGTCACAGCATATGTCGGAACAAGTGGCAGGCTTGAATGCAGAACACATACCAGAACCCATGTTGAACCATATGTCAGAGCACATGTCAGACTTCACGTCAGAACAAGTGTCAGAATGCATGCCAGCAAGAGCGTCAGAACACAGTCCAGAACAACCTTTCTAGCCTTTATGATGGATGATGTGTCAGAACAGAACAAGCGTCAGAACATTGTGTCAATGCGCATGTCACAGCGTTGCCAGGCTAGTGTGTCAATGCAGCCTTCCCTTGTTCCAAATCGCCTTTCAGGGTGGATATCACTTGAAATTTGTGTTCGTCACTTGGGAATGTCCGTGTACCGCTTCGCAGGATTCACACTTTTCGGGCAAACCGGGTGGCCAACTTGGCTTCAAAACCAGGTCTTCACGGAGGTCCAGGAGGCCCAGCGGTTTTTGCTTTGCATGGAGCTGATGATCCGACGGGCACAGGAGGAGTGACGAATCCCGTGGAGTGACAGATCGGCGGATGTGTCGTTTCATTCCAGGTTGGATCAAATTTGGCTGAACTTAGATTGGGGACGGTGTGTCGACGCATTTCAAAAAGAAGCACAATTCAGCTGACGCTGCGGGTAAGTCTTCGAACCTGAAAGATCACTAGGTTTGTGAACCACTGTTAGAATACAGCTTGGCTACCCCCATGTCATGGTCATGTCAATCGAGGTCTTTGGGAGCAAGTTGGGAAGGGAAGCCTGATAGGGTGACCGGCTTCACTGATTGATTTGGACCCCGCCCGTCACAGGACAAAACGCGCAGTTGGCCGTGTGTCTGGAACATGAAAGACCGACAAGTGGTGTTTAAGATGGTTTAAGAATTGACGGACCTCGGAGAATTGTAGAAACAACTCTAGTACATTGTAACCATTATCCTGGGAACCAACATGGGTGGAAAACGCCCTGTTTGTAGAAGAAATGTGTCTTCCAAAGGGCCATTGTCCACTTCCATGTTACTTCCAGGGAGTGCATGGATTCAATGTGATTCATATGTATATGTGTAAAATAAATGTATTGTACTGGAAGTTGAGCTTTTGTACTGGAAGTTGAGCAGAGCAGTGGCGAAGCTTGTGCTCTCGATCACACACTCAACAGCACCACTCACTGGCTTCGCGTGCGCAGGAAGTCCGGGATGGTGCTGACGGTCAAAGCTGTCCAAGAGGGTCGCAGGTTGGCGGAACTTGACTCATGGGTTTGGTTGTAGCCATGTCTCGGGAAAGGGACTGCGAAGAATTACCGCGGTTGATATCGGATATCGGATGTACACATCGCCTCCCCCAGAAGACATGGCTTTGCAGGGGCAGGGGTGCACAGTGATTAGGTGCTGCAACAGTGGGAAGGGTTCAATCTTGAGCTGAGGAGTTCACACCAACGTTTGGGAGTTCTCCACGCTTGTTCTTTTTTTGTTTGTTCGCCCAGAGAGGTCAGTGATGAAGCTGAACCATGTGGTTTCTCTCCCTCCGAATTCCGCAGCTGTAAGGCTTAAGGCGATCTCCGGTCACTTCGTTTGCGACGGACTGGGATTCTGGTTGAAAGACAATGGTGAACCATTTTTTTGTTGCCCCAATACGAGTGCTATAGTAGAAGATAAAGCTATAGAACCTCAAATTACTTCAAGGTTATGTCATTCGGCGGATATATAAGTTTGTTCAATTCTTAATTAGCTTGTCCAACTATGGAGAAGACAGCTCCGCATCTTTTTCTTGCAGGTGTAGCCCATCGGTTCTGACCTGGCAAGCAACATCGCAAGAAAAGAAAAGGACATTGAGTAGATCCCTAAACTCTAGACACCGTTATTTAAACCGCTCAAACACCTTCGACAAGCCAAGTTCCACTTGGTGAAAGCTCTCAGCGTTTCGAAACCCCTTTGTGTTTTTGCTTGCTCAATCCGTGGTATTGGCACCATGGCGGTTTTCACGCGCCAGTTTCTTCGTCCAAAGGCCGCCCGGAGTCCTTCGACGTGTCTGTTATTGTACTGAGCTCGTTGCTTTTGGATGCCAGTAGACGAGAAAAGAAGAGATCATGGTGGATTGGATCGGCAACACAAATCCTTCCGCCTTGCTGATGGAGTCCACCGCGATCTCTCCTTTTCATCAGCTGGTCTACTACTGGCAGAGCTATGGGATCGATTCCACAGGCACGTGGGACTCCTTCCTTTTCTCAGCCCAAGGGATGCAGGTGTGCGGCTGAAAGTGTTGCAACGGATGTGGGCTCTCGTGTAAGCCTAAGCATCACCGGAGCTTTGATGGCAATCGTGGTCAATGCTTTGTTCCTGGTGGATGGCTTGAAATGCTTCATAAAGACTGAACTTGTCCTGCCATCATTCCGGCTGACCCCAACGGCCATGTTTTCGGGCCGCGCCGCGACACAGACGGGCCGAGACGGGCCTTGGTGCGCTCCAACGAAGCAATGGCCGCTGCGGTGGGATCAGGTGACGGAACCGATCGTGTTGGATCGGTCGGTGTGCCCTACGGGGATAGACCTGACCCCCCCAGAGCCACAGTGGTCACCGTCCAGCTGCCCAAGATTCACTTCGTGTTTCCACGGGCAACTTCCGTGTCACTGGGGTGTCCTGAACAAAATAAACGAAGCAGAAATGGCCCCAGAAAAAAGTCTGGCGGCATGAGTGCGCCAAAGGATTCGATCTTGGAAGAGATGTGCACAATGGCCCCCCAAGAAAAGCTTCAAAGTTAGAATACCCCGACTATCACGGCTACAAGCTGGTGTTCTTCACCGAGATCCCTCCCGGTGCGGAAGACAGGCACCCACACTGGTCAAACGTGTTGGCACTTCTGAATGTGCTCCAATATGAGCCGGAGGTGGACTACGTGTTTTGGAGAGAGCGTTTCTCTTCTTGTGAATTTCTGTGAATTACAACGTCAGCTTGGGGGACTATACGCCCAGAGGAAGCAGAAGCAGCTCCATGACCTTGAACCTTTGCTGCTTTTATTATGGGCACATCCTGTTCAAGAACGACAAGTGGACGCATGATGTCTTGAAGGAAGTTTGGAAGACTTATCCTCCCCAGAACTGTGGCAAGATCGGAAAGGATCGACATCATGTACAAGCTCTCTACTTCCAACAGAAGCAAAGCGGAAGGCAGAAGCATGTCTTGAGAACTTGCCGCCTGGCGAGTGATCTAAAGGGACATGCTGCATCCCAAAGCTGGTCCCTGGCTGATTGCCTTGAACTCAACGCCTTGAGCTCAACACCTTGAACTAACAAAGACGGCGTTCCCAAAGAAGGACTACTTCATCGTGCACTTCGCAGGCCGCGATGCTGAGTTCCAACTTTAATCAAGGAACAAATTCGAGATAGATACCTACTAGCGATGGCCTCCAACAGCAATGGCCTCCAACCGGTGACCTCCAACTTACCTGCGATGGCCTCCAACCCAATAGCAATGGCCTCCAACTTACTTGCGATGGCCTCCAACCTAATAGCCACGGCCTCCAGCCCAGAACATTTGGCTACATGCAAGTTTTTCAGCGGGGCCAACAAGCGACGGTCGCAAGGCCGCATGCAGAATCTATCAGAATCTCATCATTGTACCTGTCCGTTCGGGGAAGGCCGCATGCAGAATCTCATTTGTCCTTTCTCTGTCCGTTGGGGTGGCCGGTCGCAAGAACGCCCACCGATGAGCAGATGCATGAGCAGTTGGAAAGTCCTAGACCTGCGACAGTCATCTCGAGTCATCCGACAGGGGTCTCTGTTTGCGAGTCCTCGGTTTGCGGTGAAAAACATTATTCTTTTCCGCAGCTGCGCAGGAAAAGAAGGTGCTCCTCATGCGCGCAAGTTCCACATGGAATCTCCTGCCTAAAAGCCAGGACTTAATTTTGTTTGGCCTACTAGAGAGGGAACTGCCAAGTCTTTGGGTGGGAGAAACATGGAGAAACCCTCCACAAACACTCCCGCTGGAAGCCTTCATGGCGGAAAACCACTAAACAACACACGTGGCAGGCGCGAAGCACTGCTGGGACGGCACCCTTTGGGGGTCAAAGGCGTCCGGTGCGGCCTCTGTTGGGAGAGCCCAAGACCAACACTGGCCACTTGGCCAATCTGGATCCTTGCAGGGTAGGTGCACGTCCTAGGGCGGAAGGGGACTGCGCGAGGTACGAGCATGCCGGGGTTCTCTTGGTTCTCGGCGAATCACGAGAAGTGTTTCGGAAGTTGTTGGGTGTTTCGGATGTTGAACATCACAGGATTATACGGCAAGACTCGGTTGCTCCCAGGCAACCGTTTTTTGTTTTTGGGTGCTAGGGTAGCATATCTCAGATGGTCCGTTCTTTGGATCCAATATGATCCAATCCAAAAGGGTGAGCTTCGTCCATGGTGTGCACCTCAATGGATCCCGCAAGTGACATCACACGTGCTGATCTGATTATGGGGGTTTTCCGTGTCCATGGGCAGCTTAAAAATACCCACGTGACTAAAGGGGGGTGCAGAGATGTATAATGTAGCAGAGAAATGGCTGTGGGTAAAAAGCAGGAGCCCCAGGGTTGACTGACGAAAATGAACAACATAATACTACCAGGGAGGTCAATCTACCAGTGAAATGGGCTCCAGGTTTTGACCCACAGCCAAATCTTGGTGTCATGTTTTCGGACACTGCCACTTCCCCGCCGAAGGAAGAAGGCCAGGTTATGTTTGCCAGATCCCTTTATTGTAGAAGTTGATTATCTGGAAACAAAACGCAACACAAAAGCAACAAAAGTGCAAGCAAACAAAACACTAGCAAAACAAAAAGCAACCAAGAAAGCAAACAAAACAAAAAACAAGGCAACCAAAAAAGCACAAGCAAAACGAAGAGCAAGCAAGAAAGCAAAAACAAGAAAAGTGAGAAAAGTGCAACCAAAAAAGCACAAGCAAAACAAAGAGGTCCCTGAGGTTTTTGCACTCCGCCGGGCTTTCTGGCGCACTTTTTGGAAGGGTCCACTTGGTCCATTGGTTGCTCTTTGTTTTGCTATAGTGCCTTTTTGTTTGCACTTTTGTTTTTTTTGTGTTTAATTGTTTTTTTTCTAGAATAAAGCCACCTATGGTGGACATAAGCCAAGGGATGATGTCGGTCCATTGGGGAACCTTCATGACATGTTCACAACATATAGCTCAATGCTCCTTTTTCGGCTAAGCAGGGTTCCCATGTTGCTTTCGCATTCATGTTCGACGTAATCGGCGTTGCCCCACCAGTACGTCGGCTAAAATGCCACGTGGTGCCCGGTTCTCCACCGTGGTCGCACTGGCCCAGGAGTGGAGTGCGTTTGCAAACACGAGTGATCCCGTGCAAACCCACAGCGTGTGTCCTCCTCCGTTTGAAGACGCGTGGAGGATCGCGGGGAGGATCGCGTGGATGACGTGAACCGATGCTTCCACGGGCCAAACCTTGCTTAAACAAACAAACACACACACACACTTATATAACTCATATCAGAGAACCGACCCAGATCGAGGACATGTGTTTTTTGTTTTCGATCTTTGCATTTTCAGTAGTATGCGTATGCATCTTTGGAATGCTTTGGGGTGTATTTGGGTGTTGTAGAAACGCATACTATATTGCCACTTGGAACCTTGATAGTCGTCTCAATGTAGTCCCCCCCAGTATCGTCACGAACAGTCAGTAGGCCTCCTAATTGGGGTTGAAGATGCTTGAGCCTTGCAGCTGCCTATACCTGCAATACTGGAAAGATCTTTCATCACTATTCTTATAGTGGAATGCCATCATCAACTATTTCAGGGTGAGCTGGGTCGTACCTGGGTCTTACCCTTTTGCCACACTAAAGCCATCTAAAGCCCATGTTCTTTGAACAAAGATGGGGTTGTACCACGAGTTCGAAATCAGTGCGGACCATGGTCGTGTCCACGTTCACGGACTCCGGACCCCTGAGCTTGGCAGTTCGGCGAAACGAAAACACCGATTCGAACGCTCGTTTCCCTGCTGAAACGTGTTGAAACCATCATTGTTATACAGCTATTTACAGTGGATTCAGAGGTTCGATGGCATTGGCACCTCTACATGTCTTAGATGGAGGTCAACACATACCACCGACCTTGTGGATTGTGCATGATTGTGCCATTTACTCTCCATCCACTATGGTATAATTGATATACGTGCCATTGGATCAATCAACTCTTGCAGTCTCCGAATGCCATGGCTCCTCCCAATTCCATGGAATTTATGCGAGTCTGATCCGAGTTGAAGCGGCCAGGTGCGGCATGTTTTGAGTTCAGCGTTGCGTTTTTTATTGGACTTGGCATGAAATAGATGGACAATATACTAGCCTGGTTCTTCAAAGTGACCTTTTGACATCCCAGCTTGAGGTCACTTGGGGTGACGGTAAAAGGTCACTTAGGAACCCCAAAGAGGTCACGATCTGAAGAAGCTGGAAAGGAATACTATTTGGTGTACCTCGTCGTTCTCCAGACACACTCGCATGTAGGATTTTCAGTGGAACTGATCTTGGCGAGAAAAACTGCCCCGCGCTGCATTTGGTTGGAAAGGTGAGACACCTGTCTCAGCTCTACAGCAAGCAACTAAGGACTTTTCTTTTGGGGTTTGAATGGCCTGGTTCCCATGGTTACCTGCTGTACTGGGAACTGAACTGCTGTTGTTCATATAGATTGAGACAGTTTTTCTAGATCAGTTTGCCCCTTCGCCATGCAGCAGCATTCCGAGGTCACGAGGTCGGACCGAGACGCGAACGAACACTCCACGCCTGCCACACCAAGGCTTTTGATGTGCAGGATAGAACGAGCAAAAAGGACAGTTTTCGGATTGTCTATATGCCTAGGGCTCCTGGCCTACCCCCGTTTCTAAGGTGGCTATAGGACGGGTTGCTTAGTTTTTTTCTTCAACACCTTTTGAGATCTTCTGAGGGTTTGGTTGGAGCCCCAGGGCAAAACCAATTCATATATAATTACTTAAGCTTCTGCCAAGGAGAAGCGGTCGTGTTGAATGTTGCACTCTTCGGAGGGGCAGGGAAGACAGCGGGATGGCGCACGAAGAGAGTGTGAATCCAATCTAAGTATGACTTGCAGTGATGAATAAGGACTTACTGTAGCCCCATCCCCGGTGCTGGGGGCCAATCTTTGCCCATTTGACTCGACTTAGTGACTTAGTGTTGCAAAGGTGCTGAAATGAAATTCAGCAGAATCTTTGGGCCCCAACATCCTCGAAAGGTAGGGACACAGCCCTCCAGCACCCTGGCTGAGTATATAATGATATACAATAATATACCCTAGGAATCCAAGTGCCTTCTCAGAAGGTGTTTGGGGTGGGTTTGGAGGGTCCAGGTGCCTTTTGAGAAGGTACTTGGATCCCTAGGGATATAATAATGATATGTATATATTGTACCAGGACCTTCAGATTGTGACCTCTTTGGAGTCTCTGTCAGTGACCTTTTACAGGCCCACGTGACCTCGTCCTGTGATCTCAAGGACGGTCACTTTGAAGGTCGTATACAAAAAGACATCAGATCGATCAGATATCATATGATATCACTGCATCTTGTTATATATCCCTTGCTCAGAGGATCGATCACCCCGCCCAGGCCGGGCTCCTGCATTCCGCGAACGCTCCTGCTGCCCCTGGGGGCGAACGCCCAAGTTCACACGGCGAAGCTCCAACGACTCGAGGTCACGAGGTGGAACACTGGAACACTGGATATGCTCCGTTGCTGAACACCTCTTAACTCATATGTTCGTCCGAACCGAGCATGTTGCAGTTGCACCCGGCAACAAGCCAAGTGACCAGAGGTGATGATGATGGGAGTTCTTTTCGCTTTGGGTTTCGATCAAGGAATGTAGGCCCCTGCCTTGAAAGTGACCAGCATCGTAGAATCTTCCAAATCCTTGGCAAGTTGACTGCAGGACTGTCCGCAGGGGTCTATAGAGTGTTTTGCAGCAGTTGAGCGAACAAAAAAATTCCTTTATCCCAACGTACATACAGTACTCTCAAGGAGTCGTAGGTGAACCCAAACAATATTGTAGCACTCTTACGTACCATTAAGGTAGACAATTACTCACAGGAATGAATATATGATCATTGTATGTTATATTAGCAAAGGTACTCCAACCCCGTTATGAACACCTTGAAGCCCTTGTCTGAAAACAAGAACGGAAAACCGTAAAAAAATGATATGTTTAATGCATTCTGTTAGGATTAGTTGTAGTATACCATCGAAAACTCCAACTAGCTCAGGCTTTTGACGTGTTTGGCTGGCCGCAGGGACCAGGCGGTCTCGTTTCATCTCAACCTGTGGTTCCTCTTCACGCCCCCTAAATCAACCATCATTTCTTGGATTCAGTCTCACCAACCCCATCTCCATCCGACCATCTCTCAGCGCGGAACCTTCTCTCAGGTGGCAAGTCTGGAGCCTGAGGCCACGCGCTCGGCCATTTGCATGGCAGAGGCCCTGGGCCCCTCGCGCGCGGGCCGACCGCTGGGGAGACCTCCGGATCACGAGCCGGGCAGCGGGCGGTCTTCCGAGCAGATCAGAACAGCTGATCATGATGAATCAGAATGTGTGTTGTTTTATTTGTTCTGAGAAGTGGTGACAGAGATACTGGATGATGACTCCCAAGATTGAGCATTGGTCAAGTGCGCTGAAACGACCAACCAGGATGACATGTCCTAGATTAAAGCAACATGGTGAACAAAATCTATTTCATCTATGAGCTTAATCAGTCCACCTATATGTGTTACGATGGAGGTTGCCCTGACCTAAGAGATGTTTGTGCCCTTTTTCTCTCCCTCCAGGCTGCCACGACTGCCTCGAACCACGAACTTGTACTATTAGATCCTCCAGACCCTCCCGATGTGGTTAGACTTGCAAGCCCTCCATGTTCCTTAGACCTTCCAGTTCTTAGAGACTCTCGGGCCACCAGAAGTCTTCGTCCATGCCGGGGCCACCGGCGGCCACAACAGTGACACGACCGCTGGACCGGCAGGTCATGACCATTCCGGCGATCAACTTCGGTCGGGCATTACAGCGATGGTCTTAGCGCGGGACTGGCTGAGAAGAAGGGTTTTCAAGGGATTTCAGGATATTCGTGCATTCATCAAGCCAGTATCCTTGCAAATATTGCACAGCCAGTATTCTTTCAATTGGAAAATCAGATCATGTGCATTGCATCAGTGCTTCGTTTGTCCGATATGTGAATGAGGACAGACATGGGGTCCCAGGAACCTGAAAGCTGCTCTCCAGAGCATGTTCAGACTGGGGGAAGAATTCATCATAATTCATCCAGTTCTGAAGAACCTCCCAAATGAACATCCAGTGTTCCAGACTGGGGAATAGTATGGAATAGTTCATTTTCAGTTATTTATTTACTTTCTTTTTTTTAATGTATATGTGTTCATGTTCATCCCCCATCAACACAGGAGTTCTTTGGACCAATCGTTAGGCGGTTGGGACGGGATTCCACTCCACGTGTGGGTTCTGGGGATTTCAACGTTGGCTTGGGGGAAGGACCTTTTCAAAACACTGCCCCAAAACCCGGACTTACTGTATATATGAACTGCTAAACATTTCACCAGTTTGACAAAGAATCATGTGTTTTTTGTCTTTGGACGGGGGAATACCAAAGGCCAACCAGCAAAGCAGCAACATGGACTCAACGACTAAGCCCTACACAATGGCAGGCTGATCTCTTTTTACTGAGACAACCACTCGTGGTGAGAGACCCACTCCGCCCTGGAAAAGCATCCGTTCTGACAGCAATTATCGCAGCCCAAGCGTTTTGTTGATCCAAAGCAACTTCGGAGATGGACGTGGCACTTCCAACATATTACTTGTGTAGCTCCAACCACATCCTCAGGTGGTTGGACCTGAATAACTTTCTCAGGAGGTAGTTGGAGCCCTAGGGTTAGTCATCAATTAGTCTCTCTCTCTCTATTTCTCTCTGACTCTGTTGGATCTCTTTAAAGCCAACCATAATCCAACGAGATTGTACTAAGTCCAACTCATGGGTTGGATTTGAGTCTTCCCACAGGAGACCGTGGTGAGACTCAGATCATATATGGACCATGGAAAGTCCGTAACTGAGTCTGATTCGGACCATTTGTAGTCCTGCATTGGACTCGATCAATAGTCTCGCCGATCATCATTCTCTTTACACTTCCTGGAACATATATTTATATAATATATAATTCGAATTATATATAGAAAAGGGCATCTTGGATGACCATGTTCCTTCACCAATCACTAGGTGCCATCCACGGTCACCATGAGGCTTCCGTTCTCGAGATCTGTGTCGCCGCCAGGTCGGGAGATCTGTGT